CTGCTTCACCCTAAATTTGCATATGAATAATTGATGGTCTGTTCCACTGTTGGATCCTGGCCTTGTTTTGGCTGATGCTGTTGAGTTTCTCCATTGTAACTCTCTACAGATGTAGTCAAATTGATTTTTGTGTGTTCTATTTGGTGAGATCCATGTGTGTAGTCACCATTTTAAATACTTGCAATGAATTAAGTCATTGGTCTAGCATAATGATATCATGCAATCTCCAGCATTGTGTTTGTTACCAAGGCCATGTTGTCCAACTATGTATCCTTCCTCTTTGTTTCCACCTTTGGCATTCCAGTCACCAGTTACTATCAGTGCTTATTGATTGCATGTTTGGTCAACTTCATTCTAAAGAAATTGGTAGAATTCTTCAATCTCATCATTACTGACTTTAGTGGTTGCTAAGGAGCTCTGGTAGTGTAGTGGTTATGAATAGGGCTGTGAACTACAAGGTCAGCAGTTCTAAACTACTAGCTGTTCTGCGGAAGAAAGATGAGGCTTTCTGCTTCCGTAAAGATTTACAGCCTTGGAAACCCTGTACAGGGTCGCTCTGAGTCCGGAACCCACTCCACGGCACATAACAACAACAACAGAAATTTTAAACACAGTGGTATTAACTGGTCTTCCCTGTTGTTGTTGTGTGCCGTTATTTGTTGTGATATGAGTCTTGAGTTTCAAGACTGGCTGGTAGGTTTGAACTGCCGACCTTGTGGTTACTGATCCAGTGCTTATCCTATAACGGAATACCAGTATAGATATTATCCTATCACAGACAGCATTGTACTTCAAGATAGATCTTGAAATGTTCTTTTTAACAATGAATTGCGCCACCATTCCTTTTTAGTTTGTTGTTTGTAATATAGTAAACCAGATGATTGCCTGGTTCACAGGGTCAGTACCTGTCTATTTAAGCTCACTAATGCCTAGGATATCCATCATTATGCATTTCACTTTATTTTTGATTACTTCCAATTTCCTAGGTTCATACTTCGTACATTTCATATTCTGATTATTAATGGGTGTTTGTATCTGCTGCTTCTCATTTTGAGTTGTGCCCATCAGCAAATGAAGATCCCAAAAGCTTTGTTCGATCCCTGTTGTTATGGTCATTTCTACTTTGAGGGTGTCCTGGTGTGGTGCTGTGGGCTAATGTGCTGGACTGCAAGGTCGCTTTGAACCTCAAGGTTGGTGGTTCAAGCTTACCAGGTACTCCGTGGAAACCCTACCTGTGTAGGGTCACTATGAGTCAGTAGCGATTTGATGGCACTTAACAACAACAACAACAACAACAACTACTACTCCTACTTTGAGGAGGCCGTAACCCAGTCACATTTTGAGTGTCTCTACCTGAGGGGCACATCTTCAGGCACTATATCAGATAATGCGCTACTGCTATTGATAAGGTTTTCAGTGGCTAATCATTTAGATTCTTGGTATGGCGCTGTAGGATAACTACTGGACTGTGAGCCACAAGGTCAGCAGTTCAAACCCACCAGCTGCTCCTCAAAAACCCTATACATGGCCGTTGTGAGTCGGGACCAACTTGATGGCACTTAACTACAAAAACAACAACCATTCAGAAGTGGGTTGCCTTTCCTTCTTCCTGGTCTTGCTTAGTCTGGAAACTCTGCTGAAATGTGTCCACCATAAGTGACCCTGCTGTTGTATAAAATACTAGTGGCGATGTTGTTAAGTGTTGTCGAGTCACTTCTGACACATAGCTACCCTGTATGGGGTTTCCAAGAAGTGGCTGGTGAGTTTGAACCACTGACTGTGTGGTTCAAAGAGACCTTGTGGTCCAGTGCTTTATCCCACAGCACCGCACCAGGAGTCCACTGGGCATAGCTTCCAGCATCACAGCAACACACAAGTCATCACAGTACGACAAACTGACTGACCAGTGGTGGAATAACAACTGTATTGACATATTGTTGTTGTTAAGTGCTGTCGAGTCGGTTCCGACCCATAGCGACCCTGTACAGGGTTTCCGAGGGTGTAAATCTTTACGGGAGTAGAAAGCCTCATCTTTCTCCCGCGGGGCAGCTGGTAGTTTCGTACCGCTGACCTTAAGGTTCGCAGCCCGATTCGTAACCACTACGCTACCAGAGCTAGTTGACATAAATAACTTATATCATTTTATTGATGTACACATTTTCTATAATTGATAGAATTGATACAATATAAAACTGAGCATATTTAAACTGAAAACTTTCATAAATTTTAGTATTTGTAATTGCACATCATCATAAGATAATGAACAGATCCCTCCCACCAAGTGTCCTCACGCCCTGTGTGATCCTTCCCTCACTCATGGCCTTTCTTGTCTTGCTACTTCTTCCCAGAGTCCTCTGATCTGTCACTGTGAGGGTTACTGTCAGGTGTCAACTTGGAGGGCATGGTTCCCAGTATTACGTAATTATCCTCTTTATTGTGATTTGATAGAAGGGGAATTTATTTCTGGGTTGTGGCCTGCATCCAGTATATATGAATGTCCTGGCAAAGCTGTCTCTCAGTGCTGCATCCTACCTGTCATCATGTCCTTGGGATATGACCAGCAGCCTGCCATCCGACTTGCTGATTTTGGGTTCTGCAGCCGCGTGAGTCAGGAAAAGCCACCACCCTGACACTTGTAACATGGATTTGGGACTTGCCAGCCTTGATTACCTGTGGCACTGTAGGATAAACACTGGACTGCTAGCTGAAAGGTCAGCAGTTCAAACCTACCAGCCCTTCTTGGAAACCCTTAAACAGGGTCTTTATAAGTTGGAACTGACTTGATGGCCCACATCAACATCAGCAATGTATGTATACACACGGTCATGTGTCACATACTGTCCATTCATTCAGTGTCACCTACACAGACAGCTGTGGCCCCCTGAGGTTATCACAGAGTTTGGAAAGCCTAATTGGAGACTAGGATGTAGCCGATGGAGCTGGGTGCAACAAATGAAACAACTTCCCACACACATAACATGTCTAGCTCATGACCCTTACGTATAACGTGATTGCACTTCCAGGTATATGATGGTATAGTACATATATAACCAGGAGCTCTGGTAGCGTAGTGGCTACGAATCGGGCTGCTAACTTCAGAGTCAGTAGTTTGAAACTACCAGCTACTCCACAGGAGAAAGACGAGGCTTTTTGCTCCCGTAAAGATTTATAACCTCAGAAACCCTGTACAGGGTCACTATGAGTCAGAACTGACTCCATTGCACATAACAACAACAACACATATATAACCTGTAATATACGTGTCTTGGTAATCGTAATAAGTGTGTATGGTACTGACTTAAGTTTGTACAATACTATACTTTGTTCATTTAATGTGAACTTTCTCTACTTAAAATTAAGACATTTACTGCATACATGATAGGCTTTAACCCATTGGTTGCAGAATGTGTTCTCATGTGTTGTGCAGTTCTTCAGAGTTGTAACCTGATCTGTTTAATATTTTTTCTAAAATATTTTCTAGTTGTTGTTAAGTGCTGCCGAGTCAGTTCTGACCTATAGTGACCCTGTATAGAGTTTTCTAGGAGCAGCTGGTGAACTTGAACCAACCACCTTGAGGCTCACACCAACTTTGCAGCCCAGCGCATTAACCCACAGTGCCACACCAGGACTCCAAAATATTAATTTAAAGTGCATCAAATCTCCCAAATACAGAAAAACCTGTGCTAGTAATAGCAATAGCAAGGAGTAAAGAAAACATATCCATGTAGAAGTGAGACCAAAGGTTATTAAACAGGAAAGTGGAAATTCAGTGAATGCTACTGCTTACAAATTATGTTATGTAATTTGGACTTGTTCACACAATGTCCAAATTACATAACATCCCATTTCACAGAATAGCTAGTGGGTCTTCAGTGACACATGACCATGTACATTTCAGTAATATTGTTTCTTTAGAAAACTCAGCTTAAGGCAGTCATTACAGTTTAAGGGATCAGTAAGCTGTCAGCTGCTAACCAGAGGTCAGGTTAGAACCCACCAGCTACTCCCAGGGACTAAGGATCTGGCCATCTGCTCCTATACAGATTATATGCGAGGACACCTTGTGGGCTAGTTCTGTAGGATTGCTGAAGTTGAAATTGACTTGATGGCACGCAACAACATAGATTAATGTGTATTTTCTAGAATTTTATGTGTGTGGTTTTTAATATTTGAAATTAAACAATTTTTCTTTTGTTTAGCATTACTTTGAATAGTAGTGAAGTTCCTCTTATTTCTCCTGCTTATTCTTTTTGAAGTCCTGGTGTTACACTGTAGGATAAGCATTGGACTGCTAACTACAAAGTTGGTTTAAATCCACTGACCCCTCCTTGGAAACTCTATACAGGGTCGCTATGAGTCAGAACTGATTCATGGCACTTAGGAACAGCAAATTATTACTTTTCTTTTTTCAATGAGTTGTCCGTTTCATTTCCCATAATTCTACATGTGTTTTAGTGTGTTACTTGGTTTATGTGAGCTTTTTCTTTACATGCTTTCCAGAATTGTTAAAAAATCTCTCTAAATTGTGTTTTCACTGAAAATTTTAATTGATTTTAGATATACAAAATTTTAACATTTTGAATAATCATACTTGTAGTTTTTGTAAGGCAGGATATGTGAGTGGGTTAGGGAGTATGAATTACCTTGTTTTAGTTTTGATTGCCTTTCCTTAGGAAAAGGTTGGGGGGGGGGCGGGGTAGAATAGTGGGGCAGGACCTGCATGTGACCATTTTGTTAAGTGTACTTTGTGTAATTGCCACCTGTTAATTGGCAAGCATTGCTGATAAAACTTGTGGGGCATTTGCCTTTGTTATTCTGAAATGACCTGAGTGTTTGAAGACTACAGAAACGGGTAGGTTTGAATGGTTTTGTCAGGCTGCATCTTGGCTATCTCTCGCTCATGCTGCAGATAGAGTTAATGTTTGCACATTCATTATTTCTGTCTTTTAGATCTGCTCGACTTTGAGGAAGAGCTGCAGTAGGGCCTGACTGCATAAGTGATGGGATCAGAGAACAGTGCTCTAAAAAGCTATACACTGGAAGAGCCTCTGTTCACCTTACCTTCTGGACTTGCTGTGTATCCGGCTGTACTGCAAGATGGAAAGTTTGCTTCAGTGTTTGTGTACAAGAGAGAAAATGAAGACAAGGTTAATAAAGCTGCAAAGGTACCGTAATAGGTGACTACTTGAGAGGGTAGTACCTTTCACTATCTTGCTTTCTATGACAAATGGAAAATCAATAAAGATCAAACATGGGAATATTTCCAACTTGCATGACATGGCCAGTTTCCAAAGCTGTAGCCAAAATGTGTAACATCAGTGTGATGGCTTTTATCATAATTATTTATTTAAATTTTGTTGTTGTTTTGAATATACAGAGCAAAAAGTATACCAGTTCACCCATTTCGAATAGTGTAACTATTCTTACCCTCCTTTTATGGGGTGGTTCATATGCACGCGAAAGCTGCACAGTGAATAAGGAAGACTGTAGAAGAATTGATGCTTTTGAGTTATGGTGTTGGAGGAGAATATTGGCAGCCCATGGCACTTTTAAAAAAAAAAACAACAGCAGATCTGTTTAGGAAGAAGTGCAGCCAGAGTGCCCCTGGGAGGCCAAGATGGCCAAACTTTGTCTCTCATGCTTCAGACATATTGTCAGGAGGAACCAGTTAGTGGAGAAGGATGTCAT